TTTTGTCTTTTTGAGACAGGGTCTCCCTGTAGCCTGAGCTGTCCTGGAACTCACTATGTAGACCAGGCTGGCCTTGAATTCACAGAGACCCTCTTGCCTCTGCCTCCCAAGTGCTGGGACTACAGGCATGTGCCACCACGCCCGGCAAGTTTTTCTCTTTTTTTATTTTATGTGTATGTTGCCTGCATGTAGGTAAGTACACCTGTGTTATGTCCAGCAATGCCCAAGGAGGTCAGAAGAGGCTGTCAGATCCCTTGGGACTGGAGTTACAGACAGTTGTTAGCTGCCATGTGGGTGCTGGGGTTCAAATCCGGGTCTTCTGCAAGAATAACCAGTGTTCTTAACCGCCGAGCCATCTCTCCAGCCCTTGATTTGATTTGATTTGATTTGATTTGATTTGATTTGATTTGATTTGATTTGATGGAATGAGGTTTTTGCCTCCATGTATGAAAGTGTAACATGTTGTGCAATGCCCATGGAGACCAGAAGAGGGCACCAGGTCCTCTGGAACTGGAGTTACAGACACCAAGTGGGTGCTGGGAGCTGAACCCTGGGTCCTCTGCAGCGTGTGCTCTTTATCTGCTGAGCCGAGCCGTCTCTCCAGTTTCTAGCCTCAAATTCTTGGAGTCAAGCGTATCAGTGCTAGGGATCAAGCCCTGGGTATTACACATGCTGGGCAAGTTCTCCACCATTGAGCTGCAACCCCAACCCAGTCCTTAACTTTTTGTTTTTTGAGACGGTCTCCCTGTAGACCCAGCTGACCTGAAACTTGCTGTGTAGACCAGACTAGCTTTGATTTGACAGAAATTCACTTGACTTCTGAGTACTGGGATGAAGGGTATATGCCACCATGCCCAGCAACTTTTTTCCCTTCGTGTGTGTGTGTCAGCAAATAATATCCCCAGAGGCCTGAGACATCCCTGTGTCCTGCATTTTCTCCATTCTTCTCACCACTGGTACTGGTTCACAGCAGCACCGCTGAACCACTCTTCACCATGCTTAGGGACTGGAAGAGTGGGTACAGCTTTGGGCTGTGTGAGCAGACCTCACTCAGGTAAGGGTGACTGGCAGGACAGGCAGGTTCATATCAGAACCTGTGGGTCCACTTAACTTTACTCTGTCCTGGTGCTGCCTGCTCGAGTGTCATCAGGAAACACAGGCCATGGGTCCTGCCGTGGGAGTGCTAGAGGGTGGCGCTGCTGGGCTGATCCTCAGTCACCGTCACCCCCCCACACATACACTCCTTACAGCATTGAGCCTGGCTTTCATTTACACATCAGAGAGGGTAATTTATGAGTCATCTTTACTGTGGTCTTCCTCTAAGGAAAGTCTTACTCCCCCATTTTTTTGGGGGGGGTGGTTGTTTTTGAGACAGGGTCTCCCTGTAGCCCCAGCTGGCCTGGAACTCACTATGTAAACCAGGCTGGCCTTGAACAGGAGAGATCCGCCTGTCTCTGCCTCCTGAGTGCTGGGATTAAAGGTGTGTGCCACCACACCTGGCTTATTCCACAATTTTTGCTTGGCAGTTGTGGGTACGTAGTCTTGGAGTAAGGTTTTGGAATGCACCGACCCCTAGGGCCATAAAGGTCTACAAGAAATAATCAGGTCTGGACCCTCCTGGAACCAGTGGGGTTGTGGTGTGGGACTGTCCTGGACTGTGGGATCCATCCTGAGGCTGGTACTGGGTGCCATTCCACCTACCCTGTCCTCAGGCCTGTGAAGGATGAGGGCACTCCAGAAGGTAAACCAGGCCCCAGAATCTTCCTCAGGATGCATAGGGTCCTGACACTTGTAGAGTAGTGACTGGTAGGTTTATAATCGGGTTGCTGAGAGAAAGGAGAATCTGCGTTGAAAAAAGACCTCAGGAATGGCCGGGCATGGTGGCGCGCCCTTTAATCCCAGCACTTGGGAGGCAGATCTTTGTGAATTTGAGGCCAGCCTGGTCTACATAGTGAGTTCCAGCACAGCTGGGGCTACAAGGAGACCCTGTCTCAGAAAGACCAAAAAACAAAACAAAAAAAACCTCAGGACCATCTGTGGGTCCAGCTAGAGCCTGCGCTTGGTGAAGAGCAGAGCTGCCCCAGAATACAAATCTCACTTGCTCATGAGTCCTCTACTAGCTCCCCACACAGGCTCACAACACTGGAAACAATAGTTCTGAAGAATGTAGGGGCTGGAGTCTCGGAATATAGGGAGTATGCTCACTGCCTGTGCAAACAGGACCCCCAGGGCTTTCTGTGAAGTGATATTGCAAGAGGTTAAGTTTCCAGGTGATGTCACAGCATCTACCTGACCAGCTCTTGGGCAGTCACTCAGACTTCCTGGTTCCCCTTCTCCAGCACTGTTTCCTGCCACAGCCAGACTCTGTTATCCAAACTTCTCAACTGCCTCCACAAACCTTGATTCTGAATGGCCAGGGGAATCGAGAACTAGAATGTAATCCCGCTGGGAAGTCCTTGAAGACCTCAGGAGCTCTTGACCCACTCTGTGCTGCACTGGAAGCCTGTCTTTGTGCTCTTTCCCCCTGCAAGCCCACCTCAGGATCCATGCAGGCACAGCAGGGACTATCAGCTCCTGGGGGAGGGGGTGTTCACCTTCCTGTCTCTGTCCTCAGTGACTTATATTTAAAGACACATGAGTGTTCACAGCCTCCATAAAAGGCCTGCTGCTGCTGTAACCCTGAGAGCTACGGTATGTGAGGGCTGTGTTTCCTTCACTACTTGACAGGGAAGACACCCAGGTAATTGGTCTGACATTCTGACATCTAAATTAATAGTCTTTACTGATAGATAAGAGCAGTGTTTTAGGGCTGGAGAGACGGCTCAGTAGTTAAGAGCACTCACTCTCTTCTAGAAGACCAGTTTAGTTAGGTGGGCCACAACTGCATGTAGCATCAGCTCCAGGCGTTCTGACGTCCTCTTCTGGCCTTCGTGGGCACCCATATAGACACGTGTGTGTGAAGGCTTAAAGAGAAAGACCACCCCTCCACCAAGTACGAGAAGAATTTCCAGTACAGAGCTTTCAGAGTGCATCTACAGCAACTACTCTCCCTTCCTGCTAGCCTTTGAGCACAAACATCAGATTAAATAGTGGGTCAGCGTCTTGCCTGCTAGTCTACCCCACTATAGGCTTGCCAGTTCCTTATGATCTGTACATATGTGTATGTATCCTGTTGATTCTGTTCATCGGAAAACTCAAACACCTTCCTCAAGTTCCTTCCTCACCAGAAACCTGGCCCTGCATAGCCTGGATCAGTCAGCAAAATATCTGCCCTTGGCAGGCAGGGGGGTAGGAAACGAACCCCTCCTCCAGCCAGTGTGCCAAGCCCTGCCTATAGTGCAACCTTCAGGCAGGTCTGTTCCAACAGCCCAGAAGCTCTGCAGCCCTCTTCTCTCTGGGGGACCTTCAGCCTGGCTGTAGCTGGCTACATGGGATCCAGGATTCAGCTATGTGTAGCTGGCTCCATCCTCGGTATTATTTTCTTCTGCAGAGGCGAGCCTCTCTCCACAGGGGGTAAACAGGGAACTGGGAGCTTTTTGGAGGAAAAAAATTTATTTAACTGAGAGAATAGGAAAAGTGACAGCATTTGGTGATTCAGTTCAGGAGGATGGCGGCCTAAGTGCTAGTGGCCACGGGAAAATTCATCAGCTACCTGAGAAGCCCTCTTCCCAAATGCTCAGTGGGAACTGGGTGCTTAGCAGTTGTCCAAGAGGACTGACTTCCTGTTCTCACAGGAAGGACAGGTGAACACCTGTGAGTGGAACATAGGAAGGGGCCAAGCCCAAGCCATCTGACATTGGGCCAAAGCTCCAGAGGAAGCTGGAGGTAGAGACCTGAGAACCCACCCCTGTTTGGGGCTGGCATTTGGGGACCATGAATGGAGGTCCCCAGTGCTAAGTGACATTCCCCTCCCTGGCTGACCCCTGGGCTGTCCTGGCTGTGGGCAGATGCCTGCTGTGGGGCATTCTGTGTGGTCTTGGGCTGTCTATTCCCAGGGCAGGAGCCTCACGCAAGGAAAGAAGTGAAGGGCAAAGTGAGCACTTGGGCGGATGGGAGGACGGCCTGAGCCCAAGAGCCCAAGGCCAATCCAGGCAACAGCAAGCCACTGTCTTTAAAACAAAAACAACAAAAAACAATAAGGAGACTTGCAAGTTGGCATACCTCCACAATCTCAGCACTTGCCAGGATAAAGTGGAGAATTAAGAATTCAGTCGGGAGGCAGAGGCAGGTGGATCTATGTGAATTCAAAGCCAGCCTGGACTACATAGCAAAAAAAAAAAAAAAAAAAAAAAAAAAAGAAGGGGGAGGGGGGGGGGGGGACAGTTTTTTTCCCTTGTTGGTGGGGGCCGGGCCGCGGGGAGGAGCTTTTAAAAAAAAAAAAAAAAAAAAAAAAAAAAAAAAAAAGCAGGAGCAGGAGGAGGAGGAGGGTGGGCAGATTGTTACTCCTTGTCTGCTGGGGCCAGGCTGCAGGGCAGCAGCTTAGCAGGGCCAGAAGAGGACAGAGAGGCCCCAGCAGAGGAGCCCAGCTTCACCTTGTCCAGGACAGTCTTCTTGATGGCAGCAGGGGAGACCGTGTCCTGATCAGCCATGGTCTGCAGCTCCCTGGAAAGGCAGCAGATATTAGAGCTGAGCTCCATCTCCTCCTGGAGCCTAAGCACCCAGTGGTTGCAAGCCTCAGGCGGTGCTTTGTTAGTTTGTGTCCTGTCATGTCCGTGTCGGTCCGTGTCCCGTCCCCTCTCCCGTCCCCCCTTCCCCAAGCTGAGGACCGAACCCAGGGCCTTGCTCTTGCTAGGCAATCCCTCTACCACTGAGCTAAATCCCCAACCCCCTCAGGCGGTGCTTTGCAGTCACCCGTCTTCGGGCTTTTTACACCTGCAGTCCCCTCTGACCGCCACACATCCCCTAACTGGACAGCTGCCCGGCCACTTCTTACACTGTTCACAGTGACTCAGGATCACCCTATTTACAATCGACTATCAAAATGGCTCAGCACCTCAGCCTTGAGCTCTCTCTGCCCAAATTGTAGGGATGCCCTGCCTCTCCTCTCTCCCCTGTGGGCCATGCTGGGAGGCTAGGCTCCATGTCCAAGCCTTGGTGTGGCACTCAGAAGTCTATAGGTATCTTCACTACACGGTAGATACTGGTAAGAAAGGTGCTAGCAGTTTACCCTGTAGACCTGAACTTGGGACAGTGACTCCCAGCCCTGGTTCTGCTTTAGACCCACAGCAGGACTCTGGGCACTTTTCATCTCATTCAACTCTCACCAGGCTATCCTAGTGCCAATTTGCTGCCATCTCAGCTAACTTGTTCAACCCAGGAAAGGCCACGAGGAAGGTGCTAGGCCAGGCCCCCTAACCTGCCCAGCCACCCTCTAGCCTGGCTTTACTCTAACCTGCCCCCCTGGCTATATTGACAAAACTACATGGGATTGTACTGCAGGACCGAAGACCTACAGGCACATGTGGACCCACTTCTCAAGGGGCACGCAAGGGAGTGAGAGGCACTGTATACTGTGACCCAGGAACCTTGAGCTTTCTTAAATCCTGCCCAAGGCCAGGCCAGAAAGCAGTGAATATCTGCTAAATGAAGAATTCCACTGAAGCCTGGAGCGCGCAGATGGAGAGCAGGCAGCAACAGGACCTACCGTGTGCGGATACAGGAGGCCTCCACAGCATTGATGAGCAGGGAGCGGAAGCCCCCACTCTCCAGCACATGCAAGGCATGTATGGTGGCCCCGCCAGGAGAACAGACATTGTCCTTGAGCTGGCTTGGGTGCTGTTCTGAGTCCAGTAGCATCTTGGCAGCCCCCTGTGGTGAGAAGTAGGGGCTGGTGGCAGTGGGGCACCTACCTGCCTCTGTAGAGCAGTGTCCTCAGCCACTGAAGCATTTGCTGACTCCCCACCCATATGGTTCAGCAAGGTAAAGCGCTGACTGGTATCTGAAAACACTGACCAATAGGGCCTGGGCCCCGAGGCGGACTGCCAGACACCTTGGAAGCCCCATCTTCACACCACCATCAGCCAGAGCATCCAGGGCTGTGAATGCCTGTGGGGAGAATGTACTCTGAGCCACTGTCCTGGACTCTTCTCTGGGATACAGAGCAGGGTGCAGCCCCACAGCCTTGGAGGTCCCCATGTTGGCCCTCAAGGGGAGCAGGGACAGAGGTTCCCAGAGGCCCTGGGAACTACCCACAGCCCTGGCTACCTCCCATCACTCCCAGTGCTCACGTAGGCAGGGCCACTGCCACTGAGGCCTGTGACAGCGTCGATCAAATCTTCCTCCACCTCTGTGCAGAAGCCTACGCTGCCCATGAGCTGTTCCACAAGCCTGCCGTCCTCCACCTGGGCATGAGTGCCTGTGGCATACACAGTGACCCCCTCCCGCACCACGACTGGGGTGTTGGTCATGCAGCGGATGACCTTGGGAACTGGCCGGAACGCTGTCAGCTTCTGGAAGAAAAACCAGCTCCATCACCCTGGCCTTGGCTGCTGCCTTCACCCCAGGCAGGGCATGTATAGACCTGTTCCTCCCAATTGAGCATTTCCTGAGTTCTCACTGTGGGGTGGGCAGCTACACCCCATTCATAGGGAGAGAAGCACCTACAGCTCCAGACCACATGCTCTACCCCCTCTGCACCCCTACAGGTCTGGACACCCACCTTCTCAATGGAGTTGATGGTGACGCCAGCTGCACAGGACACCACGATGTGCCTGTCCTCAATGTCCGCACCAATCTCATCCAGGATGAACGGGATGATGTGTGGCTTCACAGCCAAGAAGAGCACATCACTATGGTGCACCGTCTCCTTGTTGTGGGGTGTCAGGTTCACCCCTATTTTCTGCAGGAGTGCAAGAAGGCTTAGCTTGCCTAAGGGGCTGTCTGCCTACAGAGCCTCATGTGTGGGGAAGCCCATAGGTAGATGGACACCTCGTGGCACAGGTTGGCCTGGGAGTCAGAACCCCCTCAGCTGTCCCTCTCGCACAGAAATGGAAGAAGCATTGTGCCCTGGAATATGTCCCCTTTGTAGGCAGAAAAGGGACTGTCCATCTAAACCACAACCCAGTCCCACCCCATCTGCAGTGGCCACTTGCCCTCCAGGTGTGGGTGGTGGTCTTCAGCTGGGAGCCTGCCCCCAACCCCTTTGGTGTGAAACCCTGAGACCTGCATTCATCACTCTGGTCCATTGTTTGGTCTCCATGCTGCCTGTTCCTTCCAAAGGCTCCTGCCCAAACTTAATACCACATAGGGAACCCCGTTCCAGACCAGTACACCCCCACCAGTTGTACTCATCGCAGAGCAGGGACGGAGAGTATGGAGATGCCTCAGGACAACAGAGATGTTCCTCCCATGAAGGTAGGGATACAGCAGCAGCTCCCCACAGTGGCCTGTTACCATCAGGTCTGTTGTACACCTAACCCTAGACCCTGACTGTGTTGCATACCCAGGCTTCTGGTCTACTTCCACCCCGAACATACCCTAAGGGCAGAGACAGTGGCCAGGTCCATGTCTGGGGAGCTGGCCGTTATCTTGTGGGCAGCCAGGACACCTGTGGGGGGACAGAGTTCCTCTCTCAAGACCAGCTCTAGCATCCCCCAGTGGAGAAACACCCCTCACCCCATTAGGGCAGTAACCCCAAACATATGGCAGCTGCCTTTCCCCACAGGACTGAGGCCACCAATGTAGATGCCCCACCTTGGTACCCTTCCCTGCCCCAGGGTCTACCTGCTGCTGTGAAGCCCTTGGCCAGGGCAAAGGCCAGCTGGCCTGCCCCGATGAACCCCACGCTCATGTCTGGAGGCCCAGCACCTATAGCCGTCACCCCTGGCGCGGGCTCTGCAGGGCAACTGCATACTGGATTGGCAGGATGGAAAGCAGGAAATTAGGTGGGCAGTGCCAGGTCTGGCCGCTCCTGGCTGCCAGGCGACTCTCACCCCCATCCCAGCCGGCCTAAGTTTCTAGGTTGCTTCCTGTCCAGCCGGGCTGGGAACCGCCCCAGCCCCCAGCCCAGAGCCAGGATGCCAGGCCCGAAGCTGAGGGTGTCCAGCTGAGAGTGACCCTCTTACAAAGGGTCGGGGAGCCACGAGAGAAGCGAGTGGAGCAGACTGGGAGTCCAGAGCACCCCCAATACCCAAGGCCCTAGTCCCCGCATCTCCGGTCCCCAATCCCAGTTCTGTTACCCCGGCGGGTCCGCGGGCACTGCTAACTCGCCACGCGGCACCCACGCCCACCGGCCCCACCCACTCCCCATCTCAGCCAATCCAGGACGTGTCTGAGCACGCTGGCCAATCCGGAGCTGCAGCCAAAGCCAGTGCATTGCATCATCCGCTGGGCAGGGAGGCATCTGAGTACAGGTCTGTACCCTAGAAGCCGCCCTTCCCGCCTGCCCCCGATCGTCTGTAGTCCCTTCGAAAGTGCCCTTCTGTGGCTCCGAACCGCCTCCAAACAGGTTCAGCTGCGGAAACCGGACGACCGTTCGGTAGTGCACCAGCCCCGCAACCCACAGGTTTTAGGGGAAATGTCTAGGCATCCTGACCCCCACCCCCACCCCAGCGTGCTCAGGACCCATCTACCTGTCTCTGAACTGCAGAGCATTGTGGAGATCCCCAGTGGCTGGACTGCCTTCAAAAGTAGCCCATCCCACTACCAGAGCAGAGATGGCTTACTTAGTTTTTCTTTACGTGTCTTAGATGAGGACACAATGCTTCAGAAGGTAATTTCAAAATGATTAGGAAGCTTCCATTCTTCAAGGTATGGGTTTCCACCTCTTCCCTGGGAGGGAGCCATGATGACCACCACCCAAACTGAGAGACTGCACCGTGGTGATGTCTGGACTGCCTTCAAAAACAGGTCTGTGCCGGGCATAGTGGCGCCCGCCTTCAATCCCAGCACAGGGGAGGCAGAGGCAGGCGGATCTCTGTGATCGAGGCCAGCCTGGTCTACATGGTGAGTTCCAGGTCTGCTGGGGCTACAGGGATAGGGAAACCCTGTCTCAAAAAGAAAAAACAAAAACCCAGACTCATCCCAAGATGACAGCGCCGACCTATGCACAAGTCTAGGAGTTTAGTTTTCTAAACTCAGGTCCTTATTTCAAAGATTACTTTTCTCTAAGTGATAATAAACAGTAGTCATTAAAACCAAACAAAGATAGGGAAGTTGAGGCAGAGGGATGTCAAGTGGGAGGCCAGCTTGGGCTACCTAGTGAAACCCTGTCTCAAAGGGGTGGAGTGGAGAAAGAAAAAAAGACGGGGCACTGGAGACAGCTCCGTGGGTCAAAAGTCTGATGACCCAACAACCTGAGCTGGATTTGTAGAACCCACATAAAGTACAAGGAGAAAACAAACAAATGCATACATGTACTGTGGCACTTCCTCCTGCCACCCCCCGCGTATAATAAATAAAAAAGAAACAAGAAGCAATAGGGTTCTTCTCCAGACAGAATGGGCACAGCTGGATTGTTACCTGATGATTTGGCCTCCAGATGCCCCAACCCTCTCAGCCTTCAGGGCATCTGCAGTCCCCAAAGCGGCCTATCCCCACCCCATACAAGTACAAGACTTTGGTTCCAACTTTGTTGGCCGACCCAAGGGTGCCCTCTCCAGCTGGCCAGCAAGGGCCACATGGTGCCACGCGAGGCCTGCTTAGGATTCCCAGAGCCTAAATGCTCTTGGGCTCCACTACCCAAAGTGTAGCACCTCTTTGTCTGTGACCTGGACCCTGGAGACCTCAGTTGGGAGGCTTTGTGTTGCTTTGGGAAAGAAGGCGAGCTCAACATTGTCTCCCTTTTTGACTCAGCTGGCCTTCTGAGTCAACCTGGCCTGCTCCTCCATCAACATTACGTGTTCCCTAGAGCCCAGGCTACCCCAGGCTATCTCTCTCTCACCAGGACCTGGTCTAGGCCCTTCTTCTAGAACATGCAGTGAGGAGGTAGCTCAAGCAGTACAACGCACCACAGCCCACCACAACCCTGAGGAGAGACAACCTGAATGATCCCTATCCAGGAAGCCAGCAAAAGTGGAACAAGCCAGGCACAAATGAACATCTGCATTTTATTTCTACCTTGAGGACCTGGGGGCCCATCAGTCAGTGGGCTGAGGGGCTGCTGAGCTGTTACCTCCAATACTTGATCTCCAGGTGGCCATGGGCCTGCCCCGGGCTAGTTCAGTCTGAGTCTTTCAGAGGAGCAGCTGGCTGGCTAGATGCTTGAGTGGAGGCTCCCAGTGTCCAGGCTTCATGTCCCATTGGCAGTCCCAAGCTGGCCCCTCACAGTGAGTCCGTGTTGTCCACCAGGCCAGACACAGAACCCATGGCAGGTACTACAGAAGCTTCTGGGTCACAGTTCATGTTGCGTGTCTAGACAGGAGCTCTGTCACTGACTTAGAACCCATCTCTTTTTCACAATGCTTCTGGTGGTGCTGCTGGCCATGGCCTCTGGCTACCAGAGCCATCTCCAACCTGCTTTGCCGTGGGAGGTAGCCTCGGGAGCCTCAGCACCGTCTTTGCCTGTTTCAAAAAGCCATGGCCACTGTGACACTCCAGGACATTGATGAGGCCCATCCTGGTTTCCAGGCTCCTCCTCTGTGAGTTGGCACAGCCATCCAAAAAAAGTCTTCTCCCAGGGTTTTAGCAGCTGCGCCTCAAACAAGGAAGAGCTTCCGGCTCCAACATTTCCTTCCAGCGGCCTGCCCCCAGGGCTCTCCTTGGCTAGTTTCCAGCGGCCTGCCCCCAGGGCTCTCCTTGGCTAGTTTCTGACCCACCCAACTTCGGGAAAACCTTTCTACTTTACATTACCCAGCTGAATGCCATCCTCAGGCACTGATGGACATACTGGGCCACCTGTAAAGTCTATCTAGCATCACTTTTCCCTTCTGCAAAATGAGTTATGAGAGCATCTGCTCCAGAGGGTTCTCATGCAGTTCAGTAACCAGCACTGAGCTCAAGGATGGCTAGGAAACAGAGGCAGGGAGACAGAGATGGAGACAGGAAGGATGAGTGCAAATGAGCCACCCTGTTCCCTGTCCAGGGTCTCCTGCTCCTCTCTTCCCCCAAGTGATCCTGGATGTCCAAGAGCAGACTGCCCTGAGCCTTCAACCTCCCTCCGCCCGATGTCTTGGTTCACCTTGGTCAGCCTCGGGTGCTCTTGGCCAGTCTGCAGAGGGCAGCCGCCGGCCAGGCTACAAGGTAGGTACAAAGCGGATCCTCTGGGAGTAAGCGAGGTCAACGATGTAGAGAAGTAAGTTGACATATGTGAAAATGGCTACCACCAACTGGCTGTCCCAGGGACAGCTGCCCCGGAGACAGTCAGAGGGCCGACCTGGTTCTCCGTACTTGGGGTCAAAGCAGAAGACAGGCCAGATGACAGCAGCACTGAGGTACAGGAGCACGGCCAGGAAGGTGTACACCACCAGTAGGCGGTCAAACGGGCAACCCAGGCCCCCAGTGTGGCCCATCACGCTCAGGGCCACCACAGCCACTGTGGCCATGAAGCATAGGCTGTAGACAGCCACGCACCACTGTGTGGCTACATAGCGCCCGTAACGGCTGTCATGGATGAGTGCCCCAAAGATGATGCAGGCCACAAAGGCCTGGACGATCTTGAGGAGTCCTGACACTGTAGCCATGTAGCTGGTCACCTGTCCCGGTCGGGCCCGTGTCAGGGCCACCTCAGCAGCATAGGCCAGGAAGAGGAGCCCAGCAAAGACGCTGGCTGCCAGGCGGAAGTTCCTGGTCATGCAGCCAGCAGGTTCAGGTGGGCACTCCAGCCGGGTGAAGTAGAGAGGATAGATGACGGCTGCCGTGGCGCACAGCAGGGCGGCTAGCATGGCGAAAGCGGCTGTGAAGTTATCCCAGGAGAGGCGTAGGCAGCTGTGGAGCCGTGTGAGCTCACAGCCTACCACCAGGACTGAGAGAGCGAAACAGAAGCCCCAGGCAGCCATGCAGAAGTTACCCTGGACGCCTCCGAAGCCTCCTCGGTGAGCAACCAAGCTGAAGGTGGTACAGCCAAAGGCCAGCTGCAGTACACGAGCTGTGCCCACAGGGGATGTCACAGCACCCAAGTGTAGGTACGCACCCCCGGGGGGCTCCATGGTGCTGCCCATCTGGCCGGCTGCTTCTCGGCCTCACACAGCGCCCAGCTGCCCTGGGGTCTGCCCTGTCGAGAGACCTCTGTCCTTCTCAGCTGTGGCAGGTGCTGGCAGTGTCCACGGTGACATTGCAGTACAGCAGCCTGTCTGCCGCCGCCTGTGTTGGGAGCCCTCCCCCCAGTGCTATAAATACACAGCCTGATCAGAGCCCCGGAATAGCAGCCTGCATGCCTGCTCCCATCCTGGAGGGACATCTGACCCCCATGTCCCACACAGAGCCCCTGCCAGGACCGTTAGCTCCACAGATGTGAGTGACACCCACCTTCTGCCTCTGAAGCACCTGCGTCTGTTAGGTCAGTGTGGTGTGGGGGAGGGGCCCGGTGAGAACAGGAAACAGGGAAAGCACTGCAAGGCATCAGGCAGCCTCCTGGTCCAGTGTGCTGGGGCAGGGGTGCAGGGAGGTCAAGACAGCAATCCGGGGTTCCGAAAGGACTATGGGGCTTTCATTTCCTGTCACTTTATAGGCGTGTGTCACCAGGCCTGGTTTCCCCACCCCCACCCTTTTATTTTCAGAGCAAATGTACATTTGTTAAGGAAAAAATGAGAAAGGACTCCCAGAGGAGGAGGGTTTCCAGGGGGAATTCTATCTCAACTCTGCTTTATTTTATTTTTGTGTGTATGAGTGTATTACCTGCAAGTACGTAGATGCACCTGTGTTGTGTGAGGCCCTAGGAGGTCAGAAGAGGGTGTCCAGCTGAGCGTGGTGTCACACCCCTTTAATCCCAGGACTCAGGAGGCAGAGGCAGGCAGATCTCTGTGAGTTCAAGGCCAGCCTGGTCTACATAGTGAGTTCCAGGACAGCTGGGGCTACAGGGAGACCCTGTCTCAAAAAGACCAAAAAAAAAAAAAAAAAAAAAGGGACAAAAAAAATCTATTATTTTTGTTTTGTGTGAGTGTATTGCCTGCATGTATGTAAGTGCATCTGGGTCATACAGTGCCCACGGAGGTCAGAAGAGGGTGTTGGATTCCCTGGAACTGGAGTTATGGACTATTGTTAGCAGTCATGTGAATGCTGGGCATCGAACCTAGGTCCTCTGCCAGAGCATCCAGTGCTCTTAACCACTGAGCCATCTATCCAGTCCCTGTTTATCTATCTATCTATCTATCTATCTATCTATCTATCTATCTATCTATCATCTATCATCTACTTTATTTATTTATTTATTTATTTGGTATTTGGTATTAAAGGTGTATGCCACCACGCCTGGCTATTTTTTTATCTTTTTGAGACAGAGTCTTCCTGTAGCACCAGCTGGCCTGGACCTCACTATGTAGACCAGGCTGGCCTTGAACTCACAGAGATCCACCTGCTTCTGCCTCCTGAGTACTGGGATTAAAGGCGTGTGCCACCAAGCCTGGCCTCTGGCTATTTATTTTTAATCTTTATCTTTTTAAAAAAATATTATTTTTAAATTTTACGTGTATGAGTGTATTACCTGCATGCAGGCACCCGTGTCATGCAATGCCTTGGAGGTCAGAAGAAGGCTTTGGATTCCCGTGAAACTGGAGTTATGGACGGTTGGTAGCCGCCATGTGGGTGCTGGGAATCAAACCTGGGTCCTCTGCAAGAGCAGTCAGTGCTCTTAACCACTGAGCCATCTCTCCAGCCCCCTCTTTATCTTCTTTCATGTGTATGTGCGTCTTTGCCTGCATGTGTATAAGTGCAGTGCAATGCCTGTGGAGGTCAGAAGAGGGCATTGGATCCCTGATTCCCTGGAATTGGAGTTATGGAGGGCTGTTAGTGTCCATGTCAGTGCTGGGAATCCCTGCAAGTGCAGCCAGTGATCTTAACTGCTGATTTTTGAGACAGGGTCTCCCTGTACCCCTCCACTGGCCTGGAACTCACTATGTAGACCAGGCCAGCTTTGAACTCAGAGATCCACCTGCCTCTGCTTCCCGAGTGCTGGGACTAAAGGAGTGTGCCACCATGCCCAGCCTGACAGTAATATTTTTATTTTTTTATTTTATGTGTATGCGTGTATTGCCTGCATGTAGGTAAGTGCACCCGTGTCGTGCAATGCCCACGGAGGACAGAAGAGACTGTCAGATCCCCTGGAACTGGAGTTACGGACAGTTGTTAGCTGCCATGTGGGTGCTGGGATTCGAACTGGGGTCTTCTGCAATAATAGTCAGTGTTCTTAACCGCTTAGCCATCTCTCCAAGCCACCTGGCCTGGTGGTACACACCTGTGATCCCAGCACACGGGAGGCCGAGGCTGGTGGATCTCTGTGAGTTCCAGGCCTGCCTTGACCACATAGCAAGTTCCAAGGCCAGTCAGGACGTCACAGTGAAACACTGTCAAAAAAGTGTCCAACTTGAGGGTTTGACAGACTGTCTTTCAATGACGACTATTTCTGAATGAAAACCTTCTGTAGGACAACCAGGGAGGGAACATAATACATGATGGTTTATTTAGATCCATGGCTTCGTCTTGTTGTTGGTGCTTCTCAGGCAGCAATCTCGAACACAGCCTCCCTCTCAAAGTGGAGTCATACCGGTCACCCGATCTAAGATGCTCGTTCACGGGATTTCCAGATAGGCCATATGTTACAGAGATGCGATGTCCATATAGATCTTAAAGTCTGCCTTTGTTTTTTAATTTTTTATTGTGTTTATTTGTGTGTGTGTGTACATGTGTGTGTGCTCATGGGCACATGCCCATGGGAATCAGAAGATAACTTGCAGGAGTTGTTTTTCTCCCTCTACCGTGTGGGCTCCTGGGATCGCACTCAGGTTGTCAGGCTTGGGGGCAAGCTCCTTTACCTGAGCCATCTCTCCAGCCTCTTGTTTTGTTTTGTGGTTTTTGTTGTTTTGAAACAGGGTTGCGTGTAGCGAGGCTGCCTTAAATGTAGCCAAGGCTGGCCTTGAACTACTGACCTGCCTACCTCCACCTCCCAAGTGTTGGGATTACAGGTGTGTGCCACCATGCCTAGCTTCAGGTCTCTTATCTTCAGAAGAAAGGTGTGGATACCAGTGGGGAAGGGCCTTGTAAGGTCAGTCTACATGGTGCCCCCTATTTCTCCTCCCAGAAGAATAAACAGTCCCTTCTCCCAGTCAAGAACTAACCAGACCAGATCCTTTTTAGCTTCTATGATCAGATGAGATCTGGCACGTTCAGGGTGGTATGTAGACCTTGCTGGCTCTTCTCAGACTATAGAATTTAGACTTTGGGCAGTGCTGTTTGAGTCCTTGGGGAGCATTAGGCAGTTTCCCCCTCCACCTGTTGGTGACGGGTGCTCCTGACCCAGACATTGGACCAAGAGGGTGTGGGATCTGAGACCCACAGGGTGTGGGATGGAAGCTAGGCTTGGCTCCCACTGCCTCACCACAGATGGGGCTGGAGGAAAGTCTTTCTTGGAGCAATTAGTTTAGTTTATCTCATGCAGAGATGTATACTTTAGCCCAGGTGCATGGCTAGCAAGTCATTATAATAAATCCAACGGCTTCTTTTTTTCTTTTTCTGCGGCTTTGGAGATCAAACCATGACCTCATGCGTGCCAGGCTAACACTCTACCCCCAACCCTTTCCTCTCCATTCCTCTCCCCCTTCTCTTTTTGGAGTAGGGTCTTATTATGTAGGTCTAACTGGCCTACAACGTGTTGCATAGACCAGGCTGGTCTCAAACTTGTGGTGACCCTCTTTCCTCTGCCTCCTAAGTGCTGGGATTACAGGTGTGCACGCTTGGTTCCCTTTCTGTCTTCTCCTATACCTGCCCCCCTCCTAGTTTTGTTTCTGAGATGTTTCATGTAGTACAAGCTGGTCCTGATTTGTCTGTGTACCCACGGCCGAAACTGAAATTCTGATCCTCCTGCCACTACTTCCCAAGTGCTAAGATTATAGGTGTACACCAGCCACCACGACACCCTGTTTATGGGGTGCTGGGGATGGAACCCAGGGCTTCATGCATGTTAAACAAGCACTCTACAAACTGAACTACAAACACAACCTCTTTTTATTTTTATTTTTACTTTTTGAGACAGGATCTCATGTAACCCAGGCTCAGGCCCAGATCTCAAACTCACTCTGCAGCCAAGACTGACTTTGAACTCCTCATCTTCCTGAGCTAAAGGAGACCCTGTTTCAAAAAACAAAAACAAAACAAATACTTAAAAACAAACAAAACCCCCAAACAACAAAAACAAAAATAAGGGGCAGGCAAGATGGTTCAGTATGTAAGGATGCTTGCTGCTAAGCCTGACAACCTGAGTTTGATCCTCAGGACCTATGTGATGGAAGGATAGAACTGACTTTTACAAGTTATCCTCTGACCTCCGCAACATGTACTCACGTCTCAAGTGGGAGTATGCCACTTTTTTTTTTCTTTAAGACAGGTTCTTACTCTGTAGTCCTGGCTGGCTTGGAAGTCCCGATGTACAGAGGTCCACCCCCCTCTGCCTTCTGAGTGCTGGGATCAAAGGTGTATGCATCCATCCCTGGCTTATACTACTTTTTAATTCTGAGACTACTTTTTAATTCCTCCAACTCACAACCCTCCTGTCTTAGTTTACAGAGGATTACGGATCTGTACCTCTATCGCTTAGCTGGTTTTTTTTGTGTTGTTTGTTCAGTTTGGTTTGGCTTAGTTTTGGTTTTCTGTACTGGAACTCATTGCATACTTTTTTTTTTCTTTTTGGGGGTCTTTTTGACACAAGGTCTCCCTGTAGCCCCAGCTGGCCTGAAACTCATTATGTAGACCAGGCTGGCCTTGAACTCACAGAGATCCACCTACCTCTGCCTCCCCAGGGCTGGGATTAAAGGCGTGTGCCACCACGCCCGGCCCATGTACATTTTTTAAATTTTTTAAAAAAGATTTTATTTTATTAAAAAATTATTTTTTTTTATTTTATGTGTATGAGTGTAATGCCTGCATGTGTATAAGTGCACCCATGTCATGCAATGCCCATGGAGGTCAGAAGAGGGCACTGGATCCCCTTGAACTAGAGTTAGGGATGTTAGCCACCATTTGGGTGCTGGGAATTGAACCTGGGTCCTCTGCAAGAGCAGCCAGTGTTCTTAACCTTTGAGCCATCTCTCCAGTCCCTTATTTTTAGTTTTAATTTTGTGTCCATGTCTGTCTTGGGGCAGGTATGTGTACATGAGTGCAGACTCCAGAAGGTATTACATCTCCTGGAGCTGGAGTGATAGGCAGTTGTGAATCACTCAACATGCAAGGGTTCTGGTAATCAAACTCAGGTCCTCTGCAAGAACAATAGAGGCTCTTAACTGCTGAGCCATCTCACCAATCCCCGCTCCTCCTTTTAAAAACAATTTATTTACAACCCAGTGGGCCTTAACAGGGATGACACAGCAGCTCCTGCTCTTAACAGCTGAGCCATCTCTCCAGCTAACCTATTTACTTAAAAAAAAAATATTATTTTTATTTTATGTGTATGCATGTATTGCCTACATGTAGGTAAATGTACCTGTCGTGCAGTGCCCTCAGAGGTCAGAAGAGGCTGTCGGATCCCCTGGGACTGGAGTTACAGACAGTTGTTAGGTGCCATGTGGGTGCTGGGATTCAAACCAGGGTCTTCTGCAAGAACAACCAGTGTTCTTAACCTCTGAGCCATCTCTCCAGCCCCGTTTACTTTTTTTTTAAATTTTTTTACAAAATGCATATGTAGAGCTGGGTGTGTGGCTCATGCCTTTAATCCCAGCATTTGGGAGGCAAGGCAGGCAGATGTCTGTGATTTCAAGGCCAGCCTGGTCTACAGAGAGAGTTCTAGGCCTGCTGGGGCTACAGGGAGACCTTGACTCAAAAAAATTGTGTATGTATGATAGTTCTTATTTCTAAATTTTTTATTTTGCGCGCGCGCGCGCGTGTGTGTGTGTGTGTGTCTACATATACCACTGAGTACGTGTGGAAGTCAGAGAACAACTTTTGGAAGTCAGTTCTCTCCTTCCATCCTGTAGGATCCAGGTATAAAACTCAGGTCACCAGGCTTGGTGGCAAGTAACTTTATCTACTGAGTCATCTTGCTGGGCCCTTGCTTTTTTATATGCTTGTGGATATGTGCTTGTCCATGTGTGTGGGTATACATGTGTACATGTGGAGGCCAGGGGACAACTGTGGGTATCATTCCTCAGGCGCTGTCCACCTTATTTTTTTATATTTTATTTATTTATTCATTATTTTGGTCTTTTTGAGGTTTCCCTGTAGCCGCAGCTGGCCTGGATTTGCTAATGGAGACCAGGCTGGCCTCAAACTCACAGAGATCTGCCTGCCTCTGCCTCCTGACTGCTGGGATTAAAGGTGTTTATTTTTATTTTATGTGTATGAGTGTATTGCCTGCAAGTATGTGAGTGCACCTGTGTCATGCAATGCCTTGGAGGTCAGAAGAGGGCGTTGGCTTCTCCTGCAACTGGAGTTAAGGACAGTTCATAACCGCCATGTGGGTGCTGGGAACTGAACCTAAGTCCTCTCTGCAAGAGCGGTCAGTGCTCTTAACTGCTGAGCTATCTCTCCAGCCCCTGCCCACCTTATTTTTTTAAAGATTTATTTTTATGTGTTTATGTGTGTGTATCCATATGTGGTGTGGGTGCCTACAGATATCACAGAGGGAGTTGGAGCCTCTAGAGCTGGAGTTACAGGCAGTTATGAGCTGCCTGATATGGGTGCTGGGAACTGAACACAGGTTCTCTGCAATATGTGCTCTTAAACTGTGAGCCATATTTCTAGCCTCCTTTAATTTTTCTATTTCATTTTGTGTTGCTTAGAGACCAATCTCTCCCTGGAACCTGGAGCTCACAATTAAGCCAGGCTGGCTGGCCAACAAGCCCCAGGGATCCACCCCAGCACTGAGACCACACACAGGTGTGACCCTACCCAACTCTGTATGTGGGTGCTACCGATTGAACTCAGGTCCTCATGATTACATGGCAAGCAGTTTACTGACTGAGCCATCTCCCCAGCATCCCCCTATTTACTCTTTTCTTTTTTTGTCTTTTTGAGACAGGGTCTCCCTGTAGCCCCTGCTGTCCTGGAACCCACTATGTAGACCAGGCTGGCCTTGAACTCGAAAAGATCTGCCTGCCTCTGCCTCCCGAGTGCTGGGATTAAAGGCGTGCTCCACCACGTCCGGCTACTCTTTTTAATAGAGTTAAATATGTAATCAGTGTCGACATGGAGTTCAAATGCCATGCCTCAGGCGCCTGACCACAGAGGACGAACTCTGGCTGTTGCTTCTGGAGGAGTGCGGAGTGTCTGAACGATGTTGTCCACAGAAATCACATGAAAAAGTAGCGGTCACATGCTATACCGTGGCTTCACTAAGTACAGTGTGTGTGGAGGATGACAGCCTTAGGTGGCACCCACGGTCCTGTCCTGGGCTTCATCTTTTCCCTGGTACCAGCAGAAAAGCATGGCACCAGCTAGCCACCAGCCCCAAAGTGAGCCATTGCTTTCACTCAGGGCTCATGACTCCTGGGGAAATCTCCACAGGCCTAATTGCAAGGGTTGTTGTTGACAGAGCCTGGCTCACCTAGACAGTCACTCTTGCACACCTCTGCTTTCTCAGATGGAGTGTTTCATCCTTCTGTTTGTGCCCAAGTTGCTGCCTGCCACCTTTCTCCCACAAAGGAAAGGACTCCAAGCACCTCTCACGTCCCCCTCAGCTCTGACCACAGCCATGTAGGCTGTGCCCTCTGGACAGTTTACCCAGCCAGGGTGGCAACCTGACTTCTTTCAGGTCCCTCCAGCCTCCTGATGGGCTTGATGTCCTCATGGGGCACTGTCTGAGGCCCTTCTGGGTCTGGTCTTGGACCTCTGTGTGGAGGCAGCAGCCTCCCTCGTCCCTGGGCATCCCTTCTCTCCTCTCCAGCCTGTGGTTGTTTCTCCCTATCTTTACAATTTCCTTTGGTTGCAGGGACACCTTAGACTTCTGCAGGCGGCCATGTAGGAATGCCCACAGAGGCAACCATGACAGGCTATGTGGCTCTATCTAGGGAAGCAGGCACTGGTGATAAAAAGGTCCTACATGGGGCAGATTGAGGCCCCAGGTGCTTCTTAGCAGGGCCTGAGGGGGAACGCCTTGGCCTCCCCAACAATATCAGCACCTCAGGTCTTTTTCAGTCTTATCTAAGATCCAAAGCAGTCTGTTTTGTCCCCACCTTGTTGGGACTTGGAGTGGGGTCTCCATTGGTCTCACCATGAATGGAGCTGCAAGCTCCCTGATGTCTGTGGTCGGAGGCTGGACATGGAGCTCAAGCTGGTAAGTCACAGCAGCTCTCTGAGCCTCCCTGCCCACCCCTCACTCTTGCTCTTTCCTCCCTCCTTCCCTTCAATTTTTTACTTTGACCTTTTTTTTTTTTTTTGAGATTGGATCTCACTATGCAGCCCTGGCTGGCCTGGAACTCACGATGTAGACCAGTCTGGTATCAAACTCATGGAGATCTGCCTGCCTCTGCCTTCCTAGTACTAGGATTAAAGATGTACAACACTGTACCTGGCCTGGGTCTCTCTGCTTATCTGCAAACCAGAGCTCTTAAGAAAACCCATTCCCATAGGGCTACAAGGGGAAGATCACCTGAGTTCACATATGATGCTTTGCTCAGGAAATTTGGTGCTACCAAAGGTCCACATGTATGACTGTAGTGTTACCAAACCTCTCCTTGGGGCTGAGCTCAGTGGCAGCACTTGCCTAGTAATGCTCCGTCTCATGTTAACCTCACTGCTGTGCACACATACAAAGTGATGCACACACAAGGCTGTTCACAGACCTCCTCTGTGCCTGAGCACGTAACACACAAGCACCAGTGGTAGCGCTCCTTGTCCACACAGTATTGTGTTAAGCAGAGATGTCGATGTGTGCTATGTAGTCATGTGTGTTACAGGAAACAATGTGTAAGTATGTAGGTTTACTGGGATATTTGCAAAACATCTCTGGAAATACCCGTAAGAGCCAGGTCTGGTGATGCATGCCTAGAATTCCAATACTTGGTTAAGAGTACTTGCTACCCTTACAGAAGACCAGGGTTTAGTTTCAAACACCCACATGACAGCTCACAACCGTCTGTAACTCCATTTCCAGGAGGCCCTCTCCTGGCCTCCAGTGGCACTGCGTTGATGTGGTGCACATCCATATACACAAGCAAAGGACACACGTACATAAATAAAAAACTTTAAAGACCATGAAAAGCAAGGTGAGCTGTAATCACCCACACTGGGAAGCAGGTGTCTACAGAATGAATGAATGGGGCCTCCTTAGGGAGGGGGCTGAGCTGGACATGAGGATCACCAAACATCCAAGAAGGTATCAGAGGCTGGGGTCCCTCTTCTGGTCCCCCTGCTACCCTGGTGGCAGGTGTAAAGTGAGTAGAACGGTCCTTCAAATAAATAGGTCATGAGTGAACTGTCATCTTTTCTTCATTATTAAGAAAAAATGTGTTACAAAACAATGTCATCATCATATATTTCTTAATTTCCATTAAAAAATTAAAGTAATAAAAAAGTGACTTTATAAAATAATACAAAAAAGCTTGATTGGTTGGGGCCGGGTGGGACTGTCTGAGCTGATGGATCCAGGAATCCAGTGCTTGCTTCGCTCTGGCCCCTTCTCATGGTGGGCTGGGAGCTAGGGAAACAGGTGGGGGCTTGGAAGAGTCCCCAGACTGCAGCGGGGCTCAGGGCAGACTGCTCCTCTGGTCAGGCTGCCTATCGGGCAGTTTGAGGATGGGCAAACAGGCAGGTATCCACACCCAGGGGGTCCTGGGTGTGGCAAGGGGCCTGGTGGTGGGGGTGAGGTGCCCTGGAACAGCCAGTGGCCCAGCCCCTTGATACTGCTTTCTCTGCTAGGCAGCCCCTAGCTTCCGCTACTCAGCATCCCTAACAGCTTGCTGGGCTCCAGCCCCTGCTGTTGGGCCACAGTCTGCACATCGAAGCCCATATGCATGAGGAACTGGGCCACATTCATCTCTTGCCCTGTGAACTGGTCCCGGATAGTGGGACATGAGGGATTGCAGTGGGGCCAGGGGCAGCTGTCCACCAGGTGGAAGGGACAGCCCTTCACAGGAGGTTTGCTGGCCTTATGGCTGTCATGGAAGCTTCGGTCCCAGCAGTGTAATGCACGGGGCAGTGAGGTCCCCTTCACCTGGACGTCTGTCCAGTAGCTGTAGAAAGGAACCCAGGTTGGAGTCATGGAGGGGACTGCCACCATTGTTTGGGGCTGTGTTTTAACCCTGGCCACACAGCCAGTGGTAGTGGCTTTGGAGGACTCAGAAAGAAACCCTTTACACAGAGCCAGAAGGGGCTCGTGAGAGGACACTTGATTGTCTGGCACAGGGAACCAGTGCAGTGCACAAAAGCTACCGCAAAACCCCGGGGTGGGGGTGGAGGGGGCAAGACTGACCTCCGGATGATGATCTCGTGGGAGAGGCAGGCAGGGGCAAAGCTGGCCCTGGTAGAAGAGACAACCGGCCTGAGCCCCACAGCTCCCAGCTGTTCCTTACCTCACCGAGGAGTTCCAGCCAGCTGTCCCTGGGCCTGTCCTTTGCCAGATAAGCAGCCTTTCTTTTGCTGTGGCTGGCCAGCCACTCCTCTACCCTGGCTTTGGCTCCAGCACTACATGCTCCCTGCTGACCTTTGCCCCTTGGGCCTCCAAATCCTGCTTTGTGTCCAGCCAGAGTGTACCAGGTAGCAGCAGGAGGCTGTCTTGGACATATGGATCTTGTCATTTTCAAGACCTCTGTTATTATATTAAAGACATTTTTAAAATTATTTTTTGTTTTATGTGTATGAGTGTATTGCCTGCAAGTAAATGCATCTGTGCCATGCAATGCCCGTGGAGGTCAGAAAAGGGTGTTAGATTCCCTGGAACTGGAGTTAGGACTGTTGTTAGCCACCATGTGGGTGCTGGAAATCAAACCCGGGTCCTCTGCAAGAGCATCCAGTGCTCTTAACTGTTCAGCCATCTCTCCAGTCCTATATTGAAGGTTTTTATTTATTTATTTTTATGTGTATGGGGTTTTGCCTGCACGTATGTAAGTGCACTTGTGTCACACAATGCCCATGGAGGCCAGAAGAGGGTGTCAGATCCCCTGGAAATGGCTTTAAGTGCTTAACCATCTCTCCAGCCTCCCATATTACATTACTGAAACAGGGTCTCATGTAGCCTAGGCTAGCCTCAAACTGGCTATATAGCTGAGGATGACCTTCAAATCCTTATGCTCTTGTTTCTACCTCCCAAATTCCAGGATTATAGGTAGGCATCATCTGGCATAGGCAGTGCTGGGGATTGAATTTAGAACTTTGTGTATGCTGGGCAGGTAGTCTACAAATAGAGCTACGCCCCAGTCCAAGACACACCTCCCCCACCTCTCTCTTTGAGACGCTCGCCCTGTAGCCCCAGCTGGTATGGAACTCACTATGTGGACCAGGCTGGCCTTGATCTCACAGAGCTTTGCCTGCCTCTGCCTCCTGAGTGCTGGGATCAAAGGTGTGTGCCACTATGCCTGGCTTAAGACCTCTGGTTTTCTTTTCGTCTTTTTGAGATAGGGTCTTTCTGTAGCCCCAGCTGGTATGGAACTCACTATGTAGACCAGGGTGGCCTTGAACTCACAGAGATCCACCTGCCTCTGCCTCCTGAGTGCTGAGACTAAAGGCATGTGCCACCACACCCAGCCCAAGACCTCTATTTTTAAGTCAAGCAGCTTGCTGTGGGTTTGGAGGGACTGCTTGAGCCACCCAGCCCAGCCCCCTGCACACACTCACTGCACATCCTTGAGTGTGCCACGCAGCTCTCGACCCAGATTCTGGATGTACAGCCATTGCCCCTCCTGGACTGGCTGCCCGGTGAGGTGCACGTTGTCCACAGTCAACTGGGCTTCATCAAAAAGCCACTGTACCACAAACACTGGACCTGGGAGAGGACGAGGCTCAGCTTGGCCTGCCTCTGGGCTTGGGGTTCTGTCCCCAGCTCCTAGCAGGCTCAAAGACCAGGTGTGCTCCCCACACCATTTCCCTGTGTCTTCTTTTCAGTTCTGGGGATGAACCGAGCGCCTCACTCATGCTGGTAAGGGGTCTACACTGAGCTATACCCCAGTCTCTCAATTCTTCTTTAAAGCCCACCCTTCCTTAGATAAGAAGGACTCTTGATAATCCGCTTTCATGGTGGCCTGGCTCTCAGGGTCATTTTGACTCATCTTTCTCTGGTATGGGACATCACTATTCTTCAGAGTAGGGTTGAGGGGATTTTGGAACCATGGGCCAACCTGGTGAAGGAGTGGTCACTTCTTCACCTACCTAGCCTTTGGAATTCAGGACAACACCCCACGACTTCCCAAATATCCCATCTGAGCTGGCCACTCACAGCGAACAGTCGGGTACACTTTGTAGCCAAAGAAGCAATTCCACTCCTCTCCCTCCTTGAACTGACGCTGACAGCGCTCTGGTACTATCCCGTTCCAGTACCTATAGCCAGTCACAGGTTAGGCTGTGGTGGGGTCCTGCCCCTGTGGGGTACTCCTCCCCGTCAGATGCTACCCAACCTTGGACCCTTTGCAGTTGCAGGGTCTTGGGCCCTCCCTCCCAAGGCACCTGATGCCACGGCGGATTGCCTCTGTGGGTGCACAGTTGATGGTGTCAATGCAGTCCGTGCGGCGGTACTGTTTGTTGTCGAGGAACCAGCCAGAGTCAGCTAAGCCCCGCACCTGGATGGATGGGTAGCCCAGCTCCTCCAGCAGCTCGGCCACGCGGTCTACATTCAACAGCACCCCGGTGCCCCCGGCGCTGAGGGAAGGCCAGACATGAGGCCAGGTGGCCAGGAAGGGGTGCTTGTTGTCCACCCAGAGCTGGCTTAGCCCCAGCCCAGGTCCTGAGGAGAGGTAGAGGCTCCTTCTGCCTCTCAACCATGCATTCTGACTGTAGGTATGCTCCTTGTCCATGGGCAAGACACAGGGGCCTCTCCCTCTCAAGGTCTGGAAGCAGGGGACTGGCAGAGCACCAGGCACTGGCCCATGGCTAAGGCTGGCAGGACACAGAGCTGGCTCTCCCTTCCCTCCTTTCTCTCTGCATCAGTTTCCTTATCTGAAGATGAAGACAAACTCCAGGGCATCAGGCCCCATTATCTATTCCACACATGCACGCTGTGTGCTGCTAGAATATAGTTGCTGACCAGCAGACATCACTCCAGGCTACCAGGCTACTGGGTCCTGAAGAAGGGACATTATCACACCACTGACCACTAACCCACTACCTAGGTCACTGCAGCCCAACAACTGTGGGGTCCAGAAACATTCTTTATACAGTTTCCAATCCCAGAGCACTCTTGAGGCCAGACCTCCAAGATGCTCCCAGTGGACTTCCTCTTCCTGTCTGCAAAGCAGAGCTCAGGACAGATCCCAGGTCTACAGGCCCTCCAGTGCCTCTCATCCACATCCCACCCCACCCATGTCCCAGGGCTGCCACAACCACCCTTTTCTCTCCACATATAGTTCCTCTCCCTTGGGCCCATTCTGCCTACCTGCTCCCAGCCAGCAGTAGCACCTTGGCTCCGCTCAGCCCTTTGCCCAGGAGCTCCCGCACCACCTCCTGGATGATGAGGGCACCCATGAAGGCATATTCGTCTGCAGGAAGGGAGGGTAGCTTCAGATAGAGTTGAGCACAGAGCAAAGTCTCCAATCCTAGGCAGGAGGAGGGGGTCTGGGCTCTTTCTGGGGATGGGATGGGGTTTGGGGTAGACTGAGGAGGAAGAATCAAGTGCAGGAGGCCCTGTTAGGAGTCCCTCCCCTGGGAACACTCTGGGGCAGGCAAGCCACAGACAAGCAGGGACTCTGAGGCATGCTGTCAAGAGGTAGAGATATTGTGTTTCCCCAGAAACCTCACCACCCTGCCCTGTCTCAAGGGGCTGGGAAGCCAGGGACTCACTCTTTTCAGACTTGGGTGAAGCCCCACTCCAAACATCACTGGAGCAGTAAGGGATGAAGCTGTAATATGGGGTCAAGTGAGCCTACCATGGTCCCCTGTAGCCCAAAGTCCACCATGAAAACCCCAAGAAAAGATGCTGCCTGGGATAGGACCCACGGGAAAGAGCACCTTCCCAGGAAGGAGGACTTCCTTAGAACAGAACCTCCTGGGGGAAGACAAACTTCCAGGAGAGACCCCCAAAAGAGTCATTCTCCTAAGAAGAACCCCTAGAAAGGTTGTTTCCTAGAACAGGCCCTTCAGGAAGGACATCCCCAGGAAGGTCCCTCCAAGAAGGACCATGGCCTCCAGGGAGAACCAAGCTCTCCATTAAAGACCACTCCAACATTTGACTCCCACAAAGGTCCATTCCCCAAGAAGGTACCCCCCTCAAGCTCCCGGATGGACCCCTCAGGATGGGATTCATAGGAAGGGCCACTCTAGGAAAGACTCTCCAAAGGAATCATTCTACCAGGAAGGACCCTCCTCCCACCAAGGGATACCCATGTTCTCTTACACCATATTGGCATTCCACCAGTGAGGGTTCTCCTCTGGTTGAGAGGACAGGATCCCAGTACCTGGGGACACGGGGTGGGGGTGTGTGTGATGATGGTTCTGTGTATGGATGGGGATTATCTTCCTGATGACCCCAGCAAGGGAGGTGGGTGTGGCCTAGCCTGAACTGAGGAGCAAAGATGGATGGGGGATGGTGGGGAATGGATGGGCTTGGCTGCCCCAGAAGTCACCATGGCCATGATGCTTGGGCAGTTTGTGACACCAGCTGGCTCCAACTCCTGATTCTCCATCCTATATCACTTTTTGGCCCTGAGGGAATGACCAGTGATCCTAAAGGGTGATGCTGAGCATTCCCAGATTTTAGGATCTCAGTGCCCCACCATCTGTCCCCAGGTTGGCCAGCCGGTCCTGTGTTCTGACCTGTGCGAGTGTGGGGCCAGTCTTTGGAGCTCATGAGGCGCCGCATGGTGGTGTATCTGGAGTCGCAGTTCTCCCGGTTGAAGCAGTACCATCCACCTGCAGGCACAGCCACCAGGCTCGGTCCAGAGGACCCCTCCTTCCAGAGTCCAGAGGACCCCTCCTTCCACCCCGCACCTCAGCCCCTGGAACGCACCTTCCAGGAAGAGTAACCACCGCCGACTGCCCTTGGACTCCTTCAAATAGTAGCTGCAGGGAAGGCGCGCTGGAGTCAGCTAGGGATACCTAGACCACCGACGCCAGTCGCTACCCACCACCCACAAGCCTCGGTCCTCGCTGCCACTTTGGGGCGGAAGGGTCATTCCACCTGTCGCGGAGCGCGCACCACGGCCGCACGGGGGCACCAGCGGCCAGGTGCACACGGGACGCACCCGCGGGCGAAAGCCCGGGCATTCCCGGGAGGTGGCGCTCGTGGGGAAGGGTGAGAGGAGGGCCGCGAGGGGCCGTGTGGTTCATGGAAAATCCCCACGGCCCGCCCCGCATGGGACCCGCGTTAACCCCGGTGCGAACGGCAGGCGGGGAGGGACGCGCGGTGGGCACTCGGGTGAAAAGCGCCCGGGCTGCTGGGCGTGTGCAGGGGCGCATCAGGGCGAGCGCGGCGACATGCCGGACACAGACACAGCCTTCCTATCAAGGGCCAGCCTAACGTCGCTTAGCTGAGCGCTTGGGCACCCCTAGTCCCTTCTGATCTCCCAGCTTCACCAGTGTCCTTCATCTACTCCTGGGTTGGGTGTGAGTGTGTGTGCGCGTGCTGCACCCAGGCCCTTCCGTCCTTCCTGGGTCCCCTCCTGGCTTCTCCTCTGGGATGGCCAACTGTTCCGAGCCAATCTGGTGTGCATAGGGGGAAGCTCCGGACAGGAACCTCCCCCCTTCGCCCCCCGTGTTGCCTGTTTCTACTGGAGCCAGGGCTACTCTCTAACTGAAGTTTCTTTCTGCCCAAGAACAGAAGCAGAGAGCCAGGAGCGCGGTGGCCGAGGGGTCAGAACCCGAGCTGGCCTAGGACCAGGGCTTCGACTGCTGCTCCCTCCCCTTCTCCGGGAGGCACCGAGGCAGGGCCTCTCTAGGGCCGGCAGCACTGGACGCCCGACTGGAGAGCCTTTTCCTCTGGGGACCACGGGAAGTAGGGAGGGTCTGGCGCGATCTCCACTTCGTGCGTGCTCCGGGACGCAGGCGGAGAATGCGGGCGCAGCGCGCTGGGCGAGCCCGGCGCGGAGCACTGGCAGGGCCAGACCCGCAGGGCGGATGGCCTCCCGGGATCCTGTGCGGCGCCCGCCTTACCCCGCGGGGCTGCCGTCGTTGCAGGTCACCGACGTGTTCTGCAGGAGGTGCAGGCGCAGGTCCTCGTTGAGCTGCTGCGCGGAGCAGGGGTACAGGGACTGCGCCAGGCTCTTGACCTGCGCCATAAAGCTGTCCATGTTGCCCTCCACGGCCGTGAAGTCCAGCGGGAAGCTCTCCACCGGCTGCCCGGCGCCCGGTGCCACTTCGGCCCGCTGCGAGGGCGGCTGCTGGCCGCGGCGCCGCCAGGTCTTCCTGCCCTCACTGCCCCCGACCCAGTGCAGCAGGCCCAGCAGGAGTAGCACGCGCACCTCTCCGCCCATGGCAGCGTCACTCCGGCCCGCGGCCACCTGTGGAGAGCGGGCGGTGAGGCGTGGGCGGCTGAGGGCGCCGGGCCGGGGGCGCCCG